GAACGAGATCTAAGCCAATTTTATCCCTGGCTGTAATGAGCGAAAAGCTGGGTGGTGGGTAGATGCTGAGGAGGGGGGAGAGAGGAGGGAAAAGGGGGGGGCGGCTCAGTGTGGAACTTTAACCAAGACAAACGCTCCCTAATGGCAAGTGAGGAGGGGGAAGCAGCCGAAAAAGTGTTGGGCTTGCGTAGCTCTGAAGTCGCCCCCCTTTCCCCCACCCCTTTGCTGGAAGAGCTTTTCTTATTCAAAACAGTGGCACAATGGGGTTCACATTGAGCCTTGCCACATCCCCATCTGACTAGCAGCCATTCATCAGGCTGGCCGGCCTATCAATGACATTTCTCCCATCAGGGCTCCTATAAAATGACGCTTTTTCCCATGAAACATCCGCAAACATTTTGACGGCTCTGGCGTTGCCCTGCTGGATTTACTGAGGATCTTTCTCTCTCCCCCCCACCCCAAGTCTTCTCCTCCCCTTTCTTCCTTCCTTCTTTTCTTTTTCTTTCTTTCTTCTTCACTCTTTCACTCTCCCCGTCCCTTTTTTCCTTCCTCCCAACCCTTCTTTACACACACACACACCCCAGGCAGAACAGGCGTCCTCCTCCTCCTCCTCCTCCTCCTCCCGCCTGCACCTCGGAGCCAAAGGGAGAAAACTCTTAACACCCCACTCGGGACTTTTGGGGGCTCCTGCACTGTCCATGGGAACAGCATGCATTGTGGGTTGCTGGAGGAACCTGACATGGATTCCACAGGTCAGTGGGAGCCAGGAGGGCGGCGAGGAGCCGGCCAGCCCAAGCCTTGGGCCCAGCTTGGCCTGGGTGGGCTGGGGTGGGCTGGGCCGGAGGCCCCCGGCAAAGGAGGGTCCCTCTTTTCTTGAGGTCGGGGGAGCCTATGCGAGGGAGCATCCTCTGGCTAGCCCCAGCTCGGGTGGCTCCTCTCTCCCTATGTGGACTGGGAAGGCTTGCAAAATCGCGACCTGTCATCACTCTCAAAGCCACGGAAGCGGAAGGGGACAGGGTGGCCCGGAGCTCTAACCGCAGGTTGCCCTGAGGTTGGACGAGACTTTCCCCCGAGGAAGGGCGCCTAGGCTCGCAGCCTCGTTTCCAGAGTCCTGAAGGGGAAGCCATCCCTCCCCTTTCAGGCTCCAAGGCAGGAGGGCCTTCAGAATGCGTGTTCTTGGATGGGGATGACAGCGGGGCGCTCAGATCCAGGGGGCGGTGCGGGGAGACGAGTAATCCCACTGGTAGGGGAAGACAGTTCCGGGCGCTTGGTGCGATCCACTGGTTGTGAGGCCAGGCGCGCGGAGATCCAGATGCGTGGCAGGCGGAGTTTGGCTGGCTTGCCTGAAAGTAACTCAGCTTAAGGTTTAATAACTCATCAGTTCGCTAACTGAAGTCGTCCCCTCCCCGTCGCCCCACATTCCGGCGTATGAGTGTGCTTGTTTAGCATCTGATTTCTTTGTTGCCCCCCCCCAAAAAAACATAACGATTTGCTCTAACTACAGCGCCAAAATAACCTTCTTGGCCTTGATTTCTTGCCAGAATCGGATTCTGAACAAGGTCGCGATGATTTTTAAAGGTCGAGAATTGGGTAGTAGTTGGGTTGCAACATGTAATTTCTGGGTTAGTTCTCCCCTTATGTTTGCAGGTCTCACCGCTAGTGCTATGGATCAACTAGCATTCCCAAAGGCAAAAACAGCCCTATTAATCATTTTAAACTTTCCACAGAATCTCGGGCTTAATTCCTCGATTCTTGTATTTGATACACCCATAGCACATCTTTTGCTCACTGCTCTTTGTTTCTGTTAGCACTGTGTGCGTAAAACGTGTGTGCATGGTTATAGCCATACACACGCATACACACATATATGATACACGCATCATGCAAACAGTGTGGGGTACCTGTCCAGTGGCAAATGGTGGAATGACCATCCCGGCCACTGAGACAAGGCTCCGGCTTCCTAATCTGAAGCATCTTATTCCAGCCACCTGTGAAAAAGGGTCGTGATTCCTGAGATTTTACTCCCACGGGGATACAAGAAACAGGGGAGTGGGGAGAGAAGCTCAGCTGTTCCCAATCTCAGCCACGGATCAGGGCTCTGATCTCAGCGGTAGGGCTGTGAAAGTCCAAGGGGCCAGATCAGCACTTAAAACTCGGCAGGTGCTTCCTTGCAGAAAGGGATGGGGGAAGAGGGAGGGGCGGGAAGGGAATCATCTCCCCTGCTCTTAAATTTGAAAGAGGCGTTGCGGAATCATCATCCTCTTAATCGTCATCCTAATTCTACACCGTTCTCTTTTGGGATTGCATATTTGGGAGCCATCTTCTGTAGGGCGGCTCTACCGTAGCTCGAAGTTTAAGGTTGGGTCCCAACGTGAACTTTTTTTGCCGCTCTCCCTCCTTTCGAGCAAAGTAGGCCGGCTTTGCCAGACCGGGCTAGGCCGCAACGCTGTAGGTGTTTTGCGAGGTCACATGAATCTGGAGGCGAAGGATCGGGCCCTTTCACCAACCATTTTCCCGAAGCCGTAAACCAGGCAAATAACGTCGCCCAGAGACTTCCTTTCCCTCTATCCCAAAGTTTCAGGGCAGAGTTTTACTTGTAAAGAGTTTTCTCTCCCTCTTCCCGCGTTCCTCTGGGGCGATTCCTCCGTCTTAACGATGCAGGCCGAGAAAACGGTCAGGCTAACCCGGAGCCGAGGTTGCGATGGTCCCTGGCAGGCGGACCGTGCGAAGGAAGAGTCAGGGAGTAACGCATTTTGCAAGCAGAAGAAAATGGGTTCCGCTTTGGGTTTTGTTTTTGGGGTGACTTCCCGACCGTTTCGGCTCCCTAACGTGTAATACCAAACCAAACCAAATGCAGTGTCCGAAAGCGAATGATGTAAAATAATAATGCTGGGAATCGTATTTCGTACGAAACAGGGGTTTCACAAAACTTTTTGAACGGGAGAAAAAGAAGGGAGATAAATCAAGAGAAAAACGAAACTCCAACGACGAGAATGGTAACTTCGCATTCGTTCTCCTTTGACTCTTCTCTACGAAGAAATCCAAGCAACAGGCTGGCAATACTGGAAAGCGCGGGGTTTTTAAAAGAAACTGGTGACTTTGCGAACAGGTCATTTATTCATTTGGGGGCAGAGGCTGGGGAGATTTAGGGGGAATGTCTCTCCAAATGGAGCAGGAGGGTCCCCAAATGCAAGGCTTTCCTTCCAGGGTGTCGAATGATGGGGGAGGGGGACTTATTACCATCAAGTACTGTACAGGATTTCAAATGACCTAACTGCGTCTCCGCCAGTTACCAGACTCCGTGCCTTCCTTTTAAGAAACCGCTTATTCCATGGCAGGCAAGGGGTGGTTCGAAGGCCGGATTAAGACGTCCTTAGGCCCTAAAGTGTGTCAGGTTTCAGAGGCCCCCTGACATTACCCCTCAACAGTGTATTGATTTCACAAGCTTTTGTTGAGGTGCCCTCATAATCTTAGGCCTTAAAACCGGTGGTTACTTGATTTGGCCGTAAACCCGACCCTGGAAGGGTTTCCAGAGTCACTACGCGTTGCTTTTCTTCGGCTTTGCCGCCCAAACCTCACGGCGCGCCGCTTGTGGGCCCGACTCTTCCAGCGGCTTCTCCTCAGTTGCCGCCTCAGCTCTGTGCTCCTCAGGAAAAGATGGGGGCCTTGCCGGCCTCTGGAGCCCAAATTCCTAACCAAGCCGGCAGCCCTTTTTGCTGCGACGAGTCCCTCAAAGGTGACGGCCTGGGAGTGGAGGGGCTGGGGGAAGAGCCATAAATGAATCCCGGTCGGGTCTCTGATAGATGGCAGGGGGGATTGATTAAGATAATATTAATCAGAAACCACTTTCGCCTTGCTCAACAGATGGCAAGGAAAGTGGAGCTTTTGGCGTTGCCCATTCAGGCACCTTCGCCTCCTTTTCAGAAAGACTTAATCCAATTAGTCTTTCTTCGGAGTTTCAGTTGTTATGTAAAAAAAATCCTCCTTTTTCTTCATCGGGATGAGGGAAAGATAGCTTCATTCGAAAGAAACGGGGAAGGAGGGTGGGATCCTGTTCTGAACTTTTCCTCTTTTTCGTTACTGTTCGTAAAATTGCTTAAATAGGCTGGAATTACGAAACTACGATCACAGTGATCTCTATCGACGTTTGTCGGCAATTGAAGGAAAACGACACCTTAATTTAAACGACTTCCAGACGCCTTCTGTCTGGAAGTTGTGGTGCATGCGCGTGCGCACGTTATGATAATATTTTTAGGAGTCATTTGCAGGTACTGTACTTCAGTAATTAAGCTGTCCTTAAATAACTTCGTTAAGCTTCTTCCCTGTTCAGTAAAAATATTATTCACGATACTGAGAGACCTTTAAACGGATTGAATCAAACTTTGGGGAATCTGTTGAAAACCAGCCCGCAGCAACAGGTTAATCTTTAGAACTAGAGGAAGTTTGTTCAGCTCTGATTTATTCGTTCCTGGGCTCCTTTGAATTCTGGGTTCCGAAATTAGATTATATTCTGTATTTATTAATTTTTAAATGAGAAATGCCCAAGGAGAGTGTGCACGTTTGTGTGTACTTTGTGATAAGGTTACACCTTTTAAATAGGGAAGGCAGGGAGCATCAATCCACATGCCTAAGCAGGTCCCTAAATTAAATCTATGCCAAAGAAGTGGTGGGAAAAGGAAGGAAGGGAGGGTCTTTTCCCCCTCTTGAGCAGCAGGGAGCTGGGAGCCAAAGACTAATTGAAATCGGCCATTGGCAGGAACTGAGGCAGCCCCACAATCCACCTGGTAGTCCTGACCTACCCTACTTTTTCTGAAGTCCATCCCGAGGATTCAGAGAGGAATGAAAAGCGGATGCACCTTCTTCTGAACAATATCTTTTTGAGAGACATTGTTTATAGCCCTAGAACCTAATTTTAATGCTGGGCTTTGCTCTGGAATGTGAATGGGTATCATGTACACAAGCATGTACAAAGTGTTCCCCCAACAGGACGAAATCTACTCCTCAGACAGCTGAGAATAAAGGTTGAGGGCTCCAAGACAGTGAAAAACAATATTATTTGCTAGCTCCAATTAGAGTAGACCTGCTGGATTTGTGCAATTTACATATGTATTGATTTAAATATTCAGCAGTTGATTTAATATGAGTATTTGGGACCAGCAACTGAATCCAGGTGTCTCATGGCACCTTGAAGACCAGCATGTTTTGTTGAGCATAAACTTTAATGAACTGTAACAATCCAGTTCATCAGAAGGCATCGGACTATAGGGCAGTTTGGCAAGTTTAAGCTCTGAATTTGATGATCTTCCATGACAGCCTCATCATTCCTCTTTAGATGGTGATATCTGATAGGTATGACTTTAACGTCTGCAATTCTAAGATTATTATTATTATTAAATAGTTTTACAGGAAACTCTACATTTAACCATATTGCTCCAATCTTCAACATGTGGTAAACTAGACCAGCAGTTTTGGGAACCTTCTGGCTCATTCTATGAGACGGACTCTGGGCTTCTACATCAAAGTCTTGCTTTTATGGAACCACTGCGCTTCAAGGGTCAGCCTCAACCACAATGCCCACCCCTTCAAAACATTAGCCCTTGCTGTTTTTGTAACTGTTTGAAGGCATTTTTTCCAGGGGTGGTAGGTGGGGAGAGACTTGCAATATACAGTAGTGTTTACGTAGTGTAATTCACAACTATATCATATTCCAGTTTAAAACAGTGTGTTTGTCTCTACATGAGCAAATAAATAT